ACCCCGAGCTGGCTCTGGCCCAGACTCTGACCCAGGCCCGCGCTGCCGCTTTTCCCCGGAAGATTGAGCATCGGTTCTGGCAGAGTCACCATCATTTATCGTTTTCCTCCCTAGGAGGAAACAGACGGTTCCAGCCCCAAGTCTGACAAAATATTCATCCTGCCGGCATTTATGAAGCTTACACAGTATAGTATTGACAACAGTGGCTGTGATTTTTCTGTGTCATCTCGTACCAAGCTTTGTGCTAGGTGCTAGGTATAAAGATAATTATAGTTATTACCAGCCTACTTTGCAGATGCAGAAACTGAGGCCTGGAAAGACTGGGATTTATCTAGGTCACACAACTAGCGGGTGACAATCCATCAAGACCAGGTTTCCTCCTAAATATCTCTAGAGCCCACCCTACCCTTTCCCTCGCCCTTACCACTCTGCCCCAGACCCCTTCATCTCTGCTCAAGACTGCTCCAGCCTCCCGGCTGCTCTCCAGGGACCTGTTTCAGCCCCCCTGCCATGTGTTCTCATTATGTGAAGATTTATCACTGGAGATGGGTGGTAGGTGTGGAGAAGATTCACTTTGTCATCGTTTTATACGTTACATATGTTATCAACTTTTAGGATGTATTTAATGTTTAGTAAAAATGTTTTAAAGGAAAAAAACACCAAGTTTTTGAGCTGGGTTCTAAGCCTGTTCTTAGTCACGGTGGCCTCCTCCAGTTGCAGTCCAAAACCCCTGTAACCTCCAGGACCTGTGACGCCTCTCCCAGCAGCAAAGGGGAAAGTGCTTAGAAATACTCGAGGAAAACGGCTTTGAGAGGGAAGGCTAGGGAGAGAAGCCAGAAGCAGTCCTAGGGCCGGAGACGGGGTGAATTGGGATTGAGAGGGTGGGAGGAAAATTAGCCCAACGGGAAGCTCAGAACAGAAGATATAAAAGAAAGTGCCAACTACTGAAAATATTGCAAATGGGTGGGTGGAGGCGGGGGGCGACGACTGGGGATCGGTTTAGGAAAATAGCAATTAGCACAGCTAAAAATAAAGTCCAATTTAGAGACAAAGCCAGATACACAAGGAGAAAATAAGACTCGCCAGAGAGACAATTCTTCGCAAAGCAAATGCTCAAGAAAATGGGGCTAATGACATCCCTTCTTGGGATGTTTTGCATAAGAAACGAGATAATAGATTAGAGGGGGGCGCGCGGGGCCGAGCAGGTGACTTGGCGGCGGGAGATGAAAAATCAGAACCGGCGCAGGCGAGCGTGGAGCGCAGCGGCCCTGCCGGAAGGTGTGCCACGTGTCCCCAAAGTTAGAGAAGTGTCCCCCGCCAGCCTGTACGTGGGGCAGAGGCTTCGCTCTGGGATGGAACCCACGGGGTTCCTGCAGAATTACCCCGAGGTCCGCCCCTGGAGCCTCCAGACCAAGCGCAGAAGGCTCCCAAGTTTCAGCGCCCCCGTAGCGCTGCGGGGGAGAGGGCGCCCCACCCCCTGCCACGGCTGGGCGCACCTCCCTCGCGGGAACCGCGGCTCGCGCCCTGGCGATGCCCCACCCGCGTTCGCGGCCGTGGGAAGGCCAGCGCCCCGGAGTCGCGGGGCGGGCAAGCCCAGGAGCCCTGGGGTCCTGGATCTCCGGGGCGAGGACCGGAGGCCGCGAGCCGCACCCGGGGTTTGAAGAACCGCGAGGCCCCGGCTTNCCCCCCCGCCTGCCGCTCCGCGGGGAATTTCTGCAGCACCCCTCCCCCGAAAACACCAGCAATCCTAAGAGAAAATAAAGAGGCGGGGACGATGGGTAAAAAGTTAGGCACAGACAACCGTTATGCAGGTTGCCAGGCTCTCCCCTCCGGTGCGCCCGCGGCGCCTCGCCCGTTTCTCGGGGC